GGGGAAAGAAAGACTGAAGAAAATAACCCAAGGTTTTTTCTGAAGTTTTTCTTTCCCAGTAACCGAAGTTGAGGACTTTATTTTGCTTATAAACTGTCTATGTTTAATTACATGTACGTAATATGAGAATATCCCATAATTCCAGTAAGAAAAACTTAACATCATGTTTTCTTATGGAAAAAAAAAACCTACCTTGGAAGAATAACCCATTACAGGTTTAAAGAAAAACTTTCAGAAGAAAACCCCCAAATTTCCCTGTAGTCTACATATCCAAAGTCGCCCCCGACTTTCAGACCACAAGTTATTCCGAGAATAGAATATACCCGAAAGAAGAAAGAGATTTACCGTTATAGATCTGTATTTAACCAGGAGTAAGGTTGTCTTTCTAACCTTGTGGGTTTTCACCGGGTCCACCCGTTTAATATGACTAGTAGCCATATATGGCATGTTCAGTGTTTAATATGACTGGTAGCCATATATGGCATCTTCAGTGTTTAATATGACTGGTAGCCATATATGGCATGTTCAGTGTTTAATATGACTGGTAGCCATATATGGCATCTTCAGTGTTTAATATGACTGGTAGCCATATATGGCATCTTCAGTGTTTAATATCACTGGTAGCCATACTATGACTAGTAGCCATATATGGCATCTTCAGTGTTTAATATCACTGGTAGCCATATATGGCATGTTCAGTGTTTAATATGACTGGTAGCCATATATGGCATGTTCAGTGTTTAATATGACTAGTAACCATATATGGCATGGACCTTGCTTAATAGTAAGAGCAGGAGGACCACACTACACACAACAAATCAACAAGACAAACAATAAAAACATTGCAAGAAATAAAACAACAAATATCAGATCAAGTGATTGTAGCTGTAATGATACAGAGAGAGAGAAATGGGGTTTAACGTCCACTTGACACAAACTAGGTCATTTCGGGACTAACATATGGTTTAATTTTATTTCAATAATTCGCTTGCGCGTAGGGGTCTTTAGCAGTGGGAGGAAACCGGAGGACATGAGAAAACCCACGAGGTTGGACAGGTGACCCTACTCCTTGTCACGTTCAACCGGGGATTCGAAACCACGTCAGTTGACTTAATGACAGACCTTATGATACAGCGCGCACGTGCTAATCATTCAGCCATCCACGCCCCTGTAATAATACAGGTTTCACTATGACTGTATATGGCCGGTTGTTTACTGTCATCATTTCTATAACATTTTAGTCAAATTAGCTTCAATCATTAAATTCTTTGATCATCCACAAATATTTGACCGATAATTTTAAATGTCATGAGGTTTAGAGAATGCTGTAAATATGTCTATTATTAGCTTGAATTGTTTTTAAATGTCAGAATTCTCATTAGAGTTTTATCTCATCTTTATCAGTTGATTGGTCAACAAAATAGACAGATGAAGATAAAATAAAAACAGAACCAAATTACAATATATACATCATACATTTATACCATCAATATACATCATACCATCAATATATACATCATACATTCATACATCTATACCATCAATATATACATTTATACCATCAATATATACATTCATACCATCAATATATACATCATACATTCATACCATCAATATATACATCATACCATCAATATATACATCATACCATCAATATATACATCATACATTCATACATCTATACCATCAATATATACATTTATACCATCAATATATACATTCATACCATCAATATATACATCATACATTCATACCATCAATATATACATCATACCATCATTATATACATCATACCATCATTATATACATCATACCATCAATATATACATCATACCATCATTATATACATCATACATTCATACCATCATTTTAAGTTTCAAAGTGGGACAAATTTGAGGGGGCCCCCATATTTGAATACAAGATTTAAAGATCCATTGGATGACCAAGAAAATCTAATTTAGATTTGAAAATGTGAAGGTCATGCTCAGGGTCCCTATTCGGTCCACAATCAAGGTCCCCATTTTGTACCAAGAGGGCGGCTTCATGGGTAATTTTGACTGTGGCTTGAACTCCACTGGTAGACATCTATATTTTTATAGTGCCACCAGTTGTTAAGAGATCATTCATAAAGATAGGTCTTCAGGTTTGCTGTGAAATTAAACCCAGTCCCCTTTGAATTATTCTGGATCCCCACAAGGTGAATCTGGCCCAAAAGATGTTTAAAAAACCGAAATATTGATACAAATGAGCGTACTTTCACCCAGAAAAAAAGTTGATACTTTAAATCAATTGATAATTTTATGAGGACGTTTCTTGAGTGCACGGTCGGTGGTGACTCATATCCTGGTGATTTCTGAAACTGAAACAAGGATTTGAACAGCGATAAATACACGCATTGTTAGATATGAGAATAAATCAGATTTCGTGGGAATTACGAACAATATACAATAAGTTAACCCAATAGTCACGTCCGGTTTGGTTCGTCATCTTGATGTTTCAGTTCTTACATCCTGTCATTCACTAGATACAGGAAGTTCATTATGTCCACTCTTAAAAACAGGGTAGATACTATTATTTGATGGTCAATGATGGGCTTGTTATTATTTATTAATATAATGGCCATATTATATGTAATTTAAGATATACACACATCTATTTATTAATAATGGAGGGTTGAATGTCCGAATGGTTAGTGCGCGCATTGAGTAATAAGGTCTGTCATTGTGTCAGCTGGCGTGGTTTCGATTCCCCAGTTGTACGTGACAAGGAGTAGGGTCCCCTGTCCAACCTCGTGGGATTTCTACGGGTCCTTCGGGTCCTCTGGTTTCCCCCCACTGCTAAAGATACCTACGCACAAGTGAATTATTGAAATAAAATTGAACCATATGTTAGTCCCGAAATGACTTAGTTTGTGTCGAGTGGACGTTAAACCCCATTTCTCTCTCTACTTATTAGTAATTATAGATGCTTCAATAAAATAACTTGATTCCTCTGCTTTTGGTGCAATAGTTTTACACACTCTAAATTCGACATCAGAGTTTTCACACTGCAACAAGAACCTGGATACTAAACAAACTATTATTAAATACGATAATTATATCACCTTCAGTGGTAAATACACATACACCACTCTCTCTACAATCTTTCGGCAGTCATATTTTTTTTTTATCAAATTATTTGACTGAATCTTTAAAAATCTGTTTTGATGGTTCTGATGTTGTTGTTTTTAAATAGATTTATTGACAAATCGGTTGCCTTTATTTCAAGTTGTTTATGGAACTGGATGCAAATACTTCGTAATCTTCTTCTTCTTTGGGCAACGCTCTTCTAAACAGCTTAAGCCTTGGCCAGTTCAAGAATGACCAACATGAAATAACACATGATACAATTATATGAAATACAAGTTATTTGAAAGATTTATTTCAGCGACATTTCAACGCGAGTTCTCTTGTCTTTATGGTCTTTGTCACCAGAAATAAATCTTTCAAGTAACTTGTATTCCATATACTTGTGTCATGTGTTATTCCCATCCTGTTACTAAATGCCACTTAAACAATTTAACATGAAACTTTGCTGGTTTGTTCGTTGGATAATCAAACACCGACTGACGGTACTTCCATTTTTGATGTCAAAATAACAAGATGTCTGTGATGATGTCTTGCTCGGTTTCTAATACTAGTTATATTATTTCATTTTGAGCCACGGTGGCTAAGTGGGTAACACGCTGGGTCACTGGCCTGGAGGTCGGGTGTTCGATCCCTACATTGGCGGAGAAAGTTCATGATTTCCCCTTGTTAGTAGTGTATACATTGGCTTGCACATAAAAGATCCCTTAGAAGTTGGAATTCAATATAAGAGTAGGCCATAGTTCCGCTGCCCGGGCAAAATTTCCCTCTGTTTGGCCCGTCTTCATTAGCGCAATAGGAACAGAACAATAAATGTTAAACCTCAATTTATTTTTATTTTGAGAGAAAATGTTCACTTGTGTTTTAAGCTGTTAATACAATCTATGATTGCCTTCTATATCGGGTTACAAGACTATATTTGGTGTTAATTTCATGCTACAATAATAACTTGGCTAATTATCGCGGGCTAATTAATCATCATCATTAGTATGTCATCTCATCTGTTTGATGTACCAGTAACTTAACCCCAGATATCTCATCATTAATAGATAAACTCTTTGTTTTTGTTCAGTTAAAAAATAATTCAATTTTAAAATTTGTTGTAACCTCATCTGCCTTTGATGTGATGATAACATATCTGTGACTACTAGATCCATTTTAATTGATAAACTTAAGATAAAATGCACAAATGTATTTTTTATCAATTTGAAATTATTTCCGAGGAAGTAGACATGCTGGAAGAAATCAAGATTGTTGGATTGAAAGTCTCTGATTGATATTTGAACCAGTTTTAATCCTTTGTAGGAGGAGGGGGGAGAGAGAGAAGGGAGAGAGAGAGAGGGGAGAGAGAGAGAGGGGGAGAGAGAGAGGAGAGAGAGAGAGAGAGGGGAGAGAGAGAGAGCTTAATTAAGGTTCACTTAACACAAACACAAACAAAGGGTCCTTAGCAGTGGGAGGAAACCGGAGGACCGGGAGAAAACCCCATGAGGTTGTACAGGCGACCCTACTCCTTGTCATGTACAATCGGGGAATCGAAACCACACCAACTGACTCAATGACAGACCTAAAGAATAAACTGAGAGTAAGTCTAGAGTAAAGCTTGGAGGATCCTAAAGAAATTATGGGGGAGCAGCTTTCTAGTCTTGACTTTACATTGTGTTTGATGAATTTGTAAGCAAAGCAGTCTCTGGAGGTTTAAAACTCTAGAAAGCACCGGATGCTCTATCCACAGGCCCTCCAGTTCATGCCTGCCCCCCTCCCCCTCCACAGTCCATGTCTGACTAGATTGTGTCAAATGTGTTGTGTTGTAAACTAGTGTATTAATAATATGGTTATTTGTTGTGTATTAATAATACATTTATTTGTATGTTTCAGATCCTGATAAAATACCATCCCTGTTGTTTGTAGCGAAAGCGTTTGAGACCCCGGCAGTGGCAGCAGGAGTTATTGCCCTTATTTTATATATTGTAAAGATAATAATGCTGTTAAAATGTACAGATACAAAACGTCTTCATATAAAAGCTGCTTATTTAACTTTCTGTGCTATAGCAGGTAATTAGTCAATAATTATTGTTCCTATGCATGTGTAGTATCGGTATTATACTGGTAGCCATGGTGATGTGTAGTATTATACTGGTAGCCATGGTGATGTGTAGTATTATACTGGTAACCACGGTGATGTGTAGTATTATACTGGTAGCCATGATGATGTGTAGTATTATACTGGTAACCATGGTGATGTGTAGTATTATACTGGTAGCCATGGTGATGTGTAGTATTATACTGGTAGCCATGATGATATGTAGTATTATACTGGTAACCATGGTGATGTACAGTATTATACTGGTAGCCATGGTGATGTGTAGTATTATACTAGTAACCATGGTGATGTGTCATTAACCAGAAAGTCCCAGTGGTTTCCCCTTGTCAACAGTGTAGGATGTGAGCCTGACACGGGACAGCGTCAAATTTTGGATGGTATGAAAAATCAAGGTCTCTTGCTTTTAGAGTTATTGCCCTTGCTTGTTTATAAAAATCTTTTTCAGTAGACCATCATCGAATTGTTGTTTTGTTACATTTGTTTACCTAAAGACTCTAGGTCCGAAATGACTGAGTTTGTGACGTTAAACCCATGTGCACATAAAAGATCCCTTGGTAGTTAAGATTAAAAAAAAACTAAACCGTAGTGCCACTGTCTAGGCAAAATTTCCTTCATATGCCGGTCTTCATTAGCTCAGTCGGTGCAGAACAGTAGGATGGTAAACCCCATTTCATTTCGTGTTGTCTACATCGTTAACTTTCATGGGGTAGGAGGTATTTATCTTATACTAGCAGAATGCCAGGCTTCGCTCAGGGGTCATAACCCCGAAACCGGAAGTGGTAGACTAACGCCACTTGGCCTATGTTACTCCCTGGTCCGAGCTACCCCTATACCCCAAATTTCAGACTCGAGGCAGACCTAGTGTAGCCGCCAACCCCGAACAGCCCGGGGGTCATAACCCCGAAACCGGAAGTGGTATACTAACGCCACCTGGCCTATGTTACTCCCAGGTCCGAGCTACCCCTATACCCCAAATTTCAGACTCGGGGCAGACCTAGTGTAGCCGCCAACCCGAACAGACAGACAAACAGACAGACAGACAAATGACAGTCACAAATATTAATATAGATTTATGGGGGGTTGTATGGCCAAATGGTTAGCATGTGCACGCTGTATCATAAGGTCTGTCATTGAGTCAACTGCTGTGGTTTCGAATCCCCGCTAGTACATGACAAAGAGTAGGGTCGCCTGTCCAACCTCATGGGTTTTCTCTGGGTCCTCCTGTTTCCTCCCACTCCTAAACGCGAATTATTGAAATAAAATTGACCCATATGTTAGTCTCGAAATGCCCTAATTTGTGTCGAGTAGAGGTTAATCCTCTCTCTCTCTCTCTCACTCTCTCTCTCTCCCCCTCTCTCTCTCTCTTTCTCTCTCCCTCCCTCTCTCTCTCTCTCTCTCCCCCTCTCTCTCTTCTCTCTCTCTCTTTCTCTCTCTTTCTCTTGTCTTTAAAACATTAATTTGTTTGTTTATTGTTGCAGGTGCCGCTGCTGAAATTGGTGTAATAATATTCTGTGTAATGCTGGAGAAAGATATTTATCATTTGGGATGGGGGCCGGCGTTACCCGGGGTTGGGGGGTTTCTACAACTTTGTATCGCGTTAGGAGGATATCTGAGCTGGAGGAATGGACCTGGGGATGATTTCTTTGATGAGGATGATGAAGCGTTCTTAGAAAAAGCTCCTCCTCTTAAAAGACCAACTCGTCCTGCGCCTCCCCTTCCACCAAAACCAGAAGCCGTTGTTTTACGAAGTGTATCCGTGACATCCAACAGATCGGCCAACGTGTGATACAATTTTAGAATAGTGCTGTGATGGATGCGACACGATGTTTGGGTTAATGTGTATCTATACAAGCTGGTATTGACCACGAATGTTAAGATTGCGTTAGCGATTATGAACAGTATTAGGATCATCTAGGATAATCACAATGGTGGAAGCAGACATTGAAAGATCCGTGCTGAACGTTAGCTAACTTAACCTCACGTCTGCTTCTATGGAATGTGTAACATGTTTGTTACCATGTCTGCGCTGTTTGGTGAAAAACTTGTTGTTGCGGTGGGTGTTAATTCAATGAAAAACTGTTGGTGTCGATTCAATGAAAACTGTACAGTGAAGTGAAATACTTTTTTTTGCGGTTTCTGTCAATTCAATGAAAAACTGTTTTTTTCAGTTTGTGTCGATTCAATGAAAAACTGTTTTTGTGGTTGGTGTTAATTCAATGAAAAGCTAATCGTTGTGGCTCTTGTGGCTCGTATCGAGTTGTTATTGTTCGGTATCTTTCGAAGGCTAATCCATGAACTCAATACTGCTATAATGTGCAACGTTTGATTGTTTGTAAATTACATGACAACTCAAATATTTCTCATTTCATTTTCTTAAACATTATCACACTTTTAATGATGAAGTGCAAAATATCAAGAGGAGGGGAGACAACTCTCATTTTGTTTTCCATGGATATGCAAGTTTTCATATTATGCATGAAAGACACATTTATAGAAAATATTATCATTAGAAATGTTTGGTGACAATAGTGACCTCTGACTTCTAGCGCTCTCCAGGTGAGATAAACAGTGGGGTCAAATCAAATTCTGATTTTACAACGTTCATATGTCTTTATTTAGTTGAAATGATAGTTTTTGGTGCATGTTTAGATTTCTATAATTCAGTATATTTTATGGAATTTAATTCAGGGTCAGGGTTGGTTAAAGCTCTGGTATAAATTCGATAGAATGTCAAGGCTCTTAATGATATAAAGAGAGTTGGGGTCAGAGGTCACTGATTTTACACCAGCTATCATTGGATAACATATATAGTGTAACTTATATATTTTTGCAAGTGTGTGCATGTGATATCAACAGTAATATATAATATATATATATAAATATATATGCATGTTTGTAAAATAGGCTATGTTCGATACATTCAGATATCTACGCAAAAAAAACCCAAACCACATTGTGATAATCTATCATTTCATCGTCACATCACGGAACTCATATCGTTCATAAAAATATGTGAGTGTGATGAAATATGGTTTTTCATTGGATGAAAATAATCACATGATGCCTCTACGAGATCAATTTAGTTACCATGGTTACAGTGATTGCATCATTCTCAAGTAACATTTAACCACATTTTACGTGTAAAAAAAGAAAAACATTCTATCACAAGATGCATTGTTAATTGGTCGAAAGGTGACCATGTGACCACCTTAAATGTGTTCCAATTGTTTTGCATTGACATCATTTTCATCAAAAGCAAAAATCGTGTGTGGTATAAAAATTATAATTCTGTTTGTATGATTGTAAATGACATCATTTCATTGGTTATAATGGGACCATGTGACCAATTGTTTTTTTTTTTGAAGTATTTACTGCAGAAAAATTTTTGTTATTTGTTATTATGTTAAGTTTTTGTATATTCTATAAAAAGCCACGCTAGTTCATTTTATATAGGCTTTAAAATTTTCTTTTTCTTGTTGGTTCTATAATGTAGGGCAGATTACACATGACTTATAATGAACATCAGGCTGGGATTACAGTGGGGGCTGACTGGGCTTCAACCAGGGCCCCCAATCTTAAAATAAATTTGGTACCATAAATATGTCATTTATTATGTTTGTGCCAAATAAATCTATCTACTATATCTACCATGCTGACAAACAAATACATCTATCTATCTATCATACTGATATACAAATTACATTGATGTGATTGGGACGGCCAATGATCAGAATATGCCCCCATTGTCATTTTCAACCAGATGTCCCATGCCAGCTGAATCCCACCCTGATTAATCTATCCATCGTTGGTTCGTTCCTAAAGTTTTACGTCCACTTCCAACATATACTAATGTCCAAAGGAAAGTATACACTGTGCATTTTGTGCTGCATCAACCAAAGTTGTTTTTCCATGGTATACGGTATTTGGGTAGAATGTCAATTTGTTTCACATTTTTATTTTGCTTAGAAATGTTGAGTTTGGACGCAAGAGACAAACTCAGTAATGCTTAATCAAATGTTTTTAATCTAAACAAAACTTTGTCATACTTTTAGTGTGTATACTTTCTTTTGGAAATCAGTATAGGTGATCTATCCATCAATGCATTTTCCTTTCTATATCCCAACATGGGCGTATGATTTGTTGCCTGGCAATGGGTCTTTTTTTTTAATTGGCAAATGATCACTATTCTTCCATAATTAAATACAAAACTTGTGTAGAATCCGCGTCCAACAGGAATATGAAAACAATGGATCGGGGAATAGAATCGGATACGGAAGTGTTCTTCACTAGATAAATATTAAAATAGATAAACTATTTTTAAATGTTTTACTTATTACCTTGAAGAAGAAGAGGGTACCTCTTCGAAACGTTGGTCTAACAATATCTGACTATGAAAACAGTGTTAGAGTTTCTTTTGTTCATCTTTTATAATTAAATATGTTAGTCATAGACACTATTCTTACAGACTTGTAGAACAAACCATTGACGAAAATAAACCCAAACTTACAACATTCATTCCTGATACTAGGGCTCTATTCCTTAAAACATATTGGCCGAAATTATCACACATTATCATCTTTTAACCAATGATTGTAGCCTAAACAAACAATATCCTGATTCAATCGGAAATAATTTAATTTATCATAAATGTGTAGACAGTAGTCCCCATTATCAAGTTGTATTTTTGTTACCGTTTAAACCATGGGTTCCACGTCGGCCGTATATGCCGGTCGAGACCTACGGCTATGGAAAATGACCGTTCCTAGATCTGACCTAACGGTCATTTTGCACGCCGGAAAAAGGGTCTTTTTTAAACAAAAAAAACAATTTCAAACATTGCTACGATCGACCTTCACTGTGTAACTATACACGAATGCACGTCGTCTAGAAGCCAATCTCGTGATTGGTGTTATAGAGTTGTATATATAGTCGTCAACAGATTATACTGAGTGTTGTGTTGATAATTAATGATGAGTGTCTGGTAGTAGAACAATAAATGTTAATTGATAAGTGGGAACCTAATCAATGGCGTGAAGCGGCCCATTGTTAATCATTCACGTATTGTCCACGTGTCATAAGAATTTTCAACAACAAAGCCGTTTACCGCTATTACGGTCAGGCACAGTGTAAACAAGGTTATTATGATCTTCGAAAAAGGGCAATTGATATGAAGTATTGCTCTTCGAATCCAACCAACTGTCATAAAATAAAAAAAAGCATAGAAATTACGTAACTTGTCGTAAGTCCTCAACAACGTACGTGTTGGGAGAAAAATGCATTTTAAAATGTTTATAGCGGTATTACGGCCTTGTGGAAATTGTTGAAATAAAATCTAGAGATTAGTTAACTTGCTTACCGAACAATTAAGAAAAATACGTATTCCAGTTCTATTGTGCAGCAATATTGATAATTCCACGTGTAGAAGAAATGTCGTGTATATACGATTACTCTTATACACGACCTTATTCTAGGGGGCGCTAGCGTCGCTAGCCGTGAAGTTAGTTATCCGTTAGTCATTTAGTTATACATGTACATTATTAGGATTTACGTCACAATTCTGCGGCCCGTAATTTCGTAAGAGATGGTCTAAAACCAAAAAAAATGTGAGATATGTGCCATGGATTATTATATATTTATATATTTACGTCACAATTCTGCGGCCCGTAATTCCGTAAGAGATGGTCTAAAACCCAAAAAAATGTGAGATATGTGCCATGGATTATTATATATTTATCTTCATTTCCATGTTATTGTATTACAACTCAAAATTATCCAGGTCAGTGTGTTTTCTATAGAGCACGTGTTAATTACGTGTGAGCTTCTGAAATGGTTTTTCTCCGGCCAATTCAACTATTTCGTTATTTAAGTAGCCAAAACGGAATATTTAATTATTAAATAATTATCACGAGCCTTACTAATATTTCATTTTTAAGTCAAATATATTTTTTTTTTGTGCACCCCATGGTGACAAAGTGGTATAGACACGTGAATTCACAATACCCTACCATGAATAAAAAACATGAAATATGAATTTACTTTGAAAAGTTTTCGTGCGTTATCAAAAATGACCGGCAATGGAAATTTTGAAGTGGAAACCCTGGTTTAAACGCATCATTTGTTTCATATTGTACAGAGAGCATTGTATATAGATAATACATGTAGTTTGGATTTACTAGTCATTTCTACAGGCTTATCAGTGTATAGTATGCTTGATCATCCAGTCTTGTATATATTCATGCCTTTTTTTGTTGGTATTTGAAACTGAATGAAAGTAAATGTAAATGTGTGTTTTACACAAACCATTATTATAAATAAACCATTGCTTTTTATACAAAACTTTCACTTTCTTCTACTGTTTGTATATGAAGAGCCCCCAGGGAAGAACGATCCAAGTCACTTTTTCAACGAACCACAGTTAATGGCACCATCTGGTAGCAAATTTTATAAGCTTTCTGTTGAACAATCAATTTCAGGTAAAAACTGTCCATCGTACCCTTTATTTGACCTTAATTTTGCTGAAAAGTGGAAGTCAGTTATTGTACTGGTAATTATGATTCGTAATAAACATCATTTTAAAGTTGTAATTAAACCATCTCGTTCATTCTGTCCGTGTCAAGCATTCTTGTCCGAAAGTCTGTTTTGCGTTTTACGCGAAAAGACAAAAATGTGACTTAGATCGTTCTCCCATGTTTGTTTGTATATAGATTAGGACAAGGAAGAAATAAATAAAAAGGGGTTTAATTACAACAGTGAGAATAACGAGAGAGATACATCACTCAGTATTATATACAAGGATAGATCTTAGAGACTATGGATAGGGGGGGTGGGGCGTCGCCAAAGGCGTGAAGCAAACAAAACAAGGGTCGGGTGGCCTCCCCCAGAAAGTTTAAGCCTAGAAATGCCATTTCCAGTGATCTGAGTTTATTATAACACCCGAAACACCTAGATCCAGATTGAGGGGGGACCGCCAGGTGTATTAAAGCTTCTGTGTATTGCTTAGAAAATGTCAAATTATCCACGATTTAATCCAGGGAAAAAATTGTCCAATTGTTGAACAGATAATAATCTTCTGGCTTCAGACGAATATTAACAGACTTGGAGGAACTTATAGGTTCATTGGCTTCTGGACCCTATTTCTCAAAATCTTAACTAAAGATAAAATCCAAATTTTAGTAGATACTTTAATTTTGATTGGCTAAGCACTAAAATCAATCCAATATTATTCAATCAAATTACTAAAACTTGGTTTTATTTTAGTTAAAATTTCGTGAAACAGGGCCCTGGTGACTAAATCCTATATATCAAATGTTAACAAGATCTAGAGAATTCTGAGACATTTTATATAACGTAAATTAAACATTTACAAAATAAACAAACAAAAAAACAAATTAGAAATATTACAAAAAATAAATAAACTAAAAATTGGACGGAGGAAAGCAAAATAAATGACACTCATAAAATTATAAATGAAAATGTTTTATATTTACAATAAATTGAAATTATCATTGCTTGATAATAAACCATTGGAGTACCCAGTTGATATCCATAATTATTTCGTAATCTACAATAAATACTGTAACTACATACCTTTTGAAGAGGTATTATAGGACAGTCTGGCCATTTCTATTTGGATCTATTAAAAGTCTTATTTTGATCAAAAGTAATACAAATATAATTGCATCCGCTGTCGGAAACACAATAAATTAATTGGAATAAAATTTTTAATATTCATTTTGAATTATCTACTTTTCAAACTATTATAGCAAGAATGGACAGCTCTTTATCTAAATCTTATATAATGTATCTTTGAAACATATCAAATTGAAACAGTTTGTTTGTTTCGAAACCTTATATAAATTCTCTTCTGTTTTTAGAATGTTAGATTTATTTTTGAGGAGGAGAGATACAGACGAGGTGTAAATAATGATACTTTGAATACAATGAATTCACATTACCTGACAGATTGAGATATATACTAGTTCATCTATATACAATAAATATTTAATAATTACAAATCATCCTCTTTAATAAACAGATTACATTATGAATGACTGAGACTATCCGTAAATTACTGTCAATTACGAAAAAATAATCAGAAGTTTTATATCTTGCATGTAGTTGATAGATCTTGTTGAAATCTATCAGTTTTATATCTTCTGGCATTCTGTGTAGTTGATAGATCTTGTTGAAATCTTGGGGTGTGTATTTAATATAAATATTTAGGCTAATTTTACCGTATTCTATGACAAATATTTATTGATGTAATGAGAAACGGAGATATACAGAAGAACATGGTAAATCTAGTAGATTTTTACTATAATTATCTTATATAAAGTCCTACACACTAGAACTTGACTATAACTCTGTCACGGACTCATGGCTTAATGATTACACACAGGTTATAGTGAGAACCTTTATGATCATCTCTCTAGTTATTGTCAAGCTCTAGATGCTGTTTGCTTCAAACAATGACCCATTAGATTACCATAAACGGGTGAAACATAAGCGTGCCGTAAAGAGTACCGTCACGGCAGGGGGCTAGGCACAGTCAAATTTTCGTAGCGTAAACGCTATCCGGTCTGTCTGAACTAAATCAACCGCCATAATTGTTTCCATCCGGGTAATTTGCATAGGACTGAAATTAACTTTTCTGTGAAGATTTCCACATTTAGCTTGCTTGGCACGGTTCTGAGACCGGTTATTTTAGAGTAATGTAAATGGGTCAATTACTTGAAATTTATCGCAGCCTGGTACCGTGCCCAGAAATTGGTTTAATATAAAACAGCATCCCAGATTATTCGAGAATGTAAAGCATATATATGTATAAATAGGGGTTTAATTGATGTCAAATATCCCAGATCATTTCCAATACAACCGTAAAACATAGGAATGAAAACCATGTCATGTGACTCAATGACAGACCTTATAATCTATGTGTTAGATCCCCGCTAATTAGTGTGCATGAATTAATAATAAATTATGTTACAAGTTCGTCATGATGAAACACTGTACAATATGATAAGATGATACGATGTTGCCGCTTGGTTCTTTCATCTGTTATATGAATAACTCTCGTCACCATTTACATACTGGCCATACTGGTCTATCATTGGTTGATTATAAGGGTCATAGGGTCGACCTGGATCTAAAGCACGACCAAACTCATCAACTGGGTGACCATCTTGTAGGAAACCAACGCTTGATTTCGGCCGGATATAAGGGTCGTCTTCATAACTGTTAAAATCATATAAAATACATTTCAGTTTCTGTATAAAATACATTTCAATTTGTGTAGAAAATACATTTCAATTTGTGTATATGATAGTGTTCAAGTTTGTATTAATAAACTGAGATTGACAACATGATCTACTATTATTTTGTGGGGTGATTCATGAAAGGAAATTAAACATCCTACTGTTGTTCTTCAACAACTAAGATAATAAAGATACACCATGGAGTGTGCTACCAGGGACATTTTGTCTACACAGCTGTATTTCTGTCTATTGTTCATTCAATTACAACAATCAACGGTTCTTTAAGTTCTCTTCATGAATTGTACACAGGACATTGGTTTTTTGTCCGATCCGAACAACTAAACTCTGAGTTACCATAGTAACTTACCTGTAATAATGTGAGTTACCATAGTAACTTACCTGTAATTGTTGTAATAATCTGAGTTACCATTATATAATCCCCCATCATCAATATACTCAGGTGTTATATGACCATCCATTAACATACTCGGATCATACCCTTCTATAATATACAAATACATAATCTCATCATACAACATACATAATATACAATAGCATTAACATAATCTGATCATACAACATACATAATATACAAATACATAAACATACTTGGATCATACCCTGCTATAATATACAAATACATTAACATAATCTGATCATACAACATACATAATATACAAATACATTAACATACTCAAACCAGACTAGCACTCATGTTACAAACAGAGAGAGAGAGAGTTTAACGTCCACTGCACACACACACTACGCCATTTCGGCACTAACATATGGTTCAATTTTATTTTAATTATTCCCTTGCACATAGGGGTCTTTAGCAGTGGGAGGAAATGTTCAAGAAATTTTCCAAATACAAGAATATATTGACTCGTCAAATTAAACCCTTGCATCCAATCACATCAGCTTCAACGAGAACAGATCAAGGTGTTGTCAGATCGTCTTGTATTGAAAATCAACAGAATATTTAAATGAGAAAGCAATGAAGATCTAGTTGTAAATAATTATACAAACCTCCGTTATTATAGAACAGATCTGGTCTATCAAGGATCTCCGAGTCTTGAATATACGGATCAAATCCTTCATCAGAATACATATAACCATCATTTAAATCACCCAATGGTCGGGCTTCTAACATCTCTAACCATTGAGAATTATGCCATCGGAATTTCTCTAATTGAATTTTTTTAGACCACTCCTTGTCATATTCCTGTAATAAATATAAACACATGTTTAGACACGGGATTGAACCCTTGACTTGCATAGATAACAGGTCTTATGATCTACAGGACATACATCAACCCATTCAGACAGTCACCCGACCCCTGAACATACATCAACCCACTCAGACACCCCTGAACATACATTAAACAACTTGGCCAGTCACCCCACCCCACCCCTGAACACACATTAAACCACTCAAACAGTCACCCCACCCCATCCCTGAACTTACATTAACCCACTCGGACACCCGACCCCTGAACAGAGAAGCTACTGTTGAAAAGGTCAATTGGATAAGCTACTAATGTATTATATAATTATTCAAAATGTGGTTATAACCTTCTAGACAGTCTACCAGCTCATCCCCCCTCTCCCCTTCCGAATCTTGTACAAAAATACTTACACCAATAATATCTAGGGTATAATTACTCCATTCACTCCCCCCCCACACCCTCCTCCGAATCTTGTACAGAAATACTTACACCAATAATATCTAGGGTATAATCACAGACTTTTCGTATCTCAACATTTTTATCATGCATTAAATCTATCAAGTAAGCTGGTGCCTCTACACACAAAGGTTAAGGGTCATAGAATATGGTACAATATATACACAGGTTAAAGGTCATAGCAGACTGTACAATTGATTCACGATCAAGGGTTAAAGGTCATAGAATATAGTACCTGTGCTTCACTCAAGACTTTGTATAAGTCATCATGGTATCTAACAATCGAGAATATGAATTGTGGGCAAAGTTTTTATGTGCCATTTATGGTTATGTCTTTTTAATTCTATTTATAGAAACATGTGAAGATAATGATCTATTTATAGAAACATGTGAATATAATGATCTATATATAGAAACATGTGAATATAATGATCTATATATAGAAACATGTGAATATAATGATCTATATATAGAAACATGTGAATATAATGATTTATATATAGAAACATGTGAAGATGATGATCTATATATATAGAAACATGTGAATATGATGATCTATTTATAGAAACATGTGAAAATGATGATCTATTTATAGAAACATGTGAAGATAATGATCTATTTATAGAAACATGTGAATATAATGATCTATATATAGAAACATGTGAAGATAATGATCTATATATAGAAACATGTGAAGATGATGATCTATATATAGAAACATGTGAATATGATGATCTATATATAGAAACATGTGAATATGATGATCTATATATAGAAACATTTGAAGATGATGATCTATATATAGAAACATGTGAATATAATAACCATGTGTTATAAAAGGATACGTGTATCTTTAATTATAACTTCTCTGGTACTCTTGTGAAATATCATCTGATAAAATACATAAATAATCTGACAAACAACTTCATCATCTTCTTGTTTCGCTGTAAATATATCAAATAATCTATTATTATTATCTAATCAGGTAGTCTTGGGTTCTCGTCTGGTGTAGTCAGGGAAAGTTTGTCAGGATTTTCCCTGGCATGGTTCCTCCTTGTCAGTGGTGTGTGATGGGATGAAAAACCAATATTTTGTGTACAACTTTGGGCTGCACATAGAAGAAGCCTTGTCAGTTACCGCTGTCCTGTCAAAATTCTCCGTCATAGCACACTGTCAGTTTACATTTGGGTCATAAGAATAGGATGTTATACTCCATTTTAATTCATTTATCTGATCTTTCACACCAAACTTTTATGTTCAATTAATATACTGGCTGGGTATTGATCCTTGTGTTCCTCAGTCTCTATCTTCCAGTCCAGTGCAACTACTAGTCTCTAACTTCCAGTCTAACCAGATAGGATAGTGAAAGGTAAAATGAATGTAGCAAGTAGTCACTCAAGGCGTTAAAAAAGAAAATGTGTTAAAATGTCTGCACTAGGGACTACTTTTATTTCAATTCCAACTGTCTGCTGTAAATGGTATACACAGAACTTTGTATATTGACTAGACACATGGTATATTCTATTTCAATAATGGATGTGGAAGGAAACAACCCTACTCCTGGACCCTTTCAAACATCATAAACAATCTCGAGTTGAACTCACCGTTAAGTAATTCTATAAGACTCTGTATAATATTAGATTGAGCTAATAATACTGCACAGCCATCATCACTACAAACTGTTCCTACTAATATTATAACTTGTAATACCCAATCATCATCGGCTGATCCTGGGAGTAACTTCCCTTTAATCCAAGATATGAGATCATATTCTCGTAAAATCAGCTCATAATCAAGCTCCGGAATGGTCAAATTACCCAGAATACCCAGACATTCGAGAGTAAATTCATCTTCTTCTTGTAAAACAGCTGCACACAAATCACTAATATAATCCTGGAATAGAAAATAAGTCCGTTGAAAATGATGAACTCTTTTCATCAAAGTCCCCTGTTTATGGGTACGTGGAGGTGAGAGGAAAGGGGATGTTTATCAGCAGGAGGAAACTCGATGACCCAGAGGAAACCCGTGAGGTTAGGCTGGTGACCCTACTCCTTGTCACGTACAAGTATAAGTATGGGATTAAAACCACGCCACGTGACTCAATAACAGACTTCACTCAAATTTGAAAACAATCAGGAATAAAACCCAGGGAAACCACTGTGTAATGTCAGCATGAGTCATGATCTGCTATATGCTACACGAAATACGAATGTAAGCATATGTAGTCAAATTCAACTATACAAGTAACCACATCGGTGAAATGTATAAAAAAAAGTCTAAACCTAAATGCTCTAAAATCAATCAAGAAACGTTTCAGTATTCAATACATATAGGGCACATGTTCCATCCATCACAAAAACAAAAACAAAACTGAATATAAAGAAGCAAATAGGAAATGTAGACTGTCTCGAAAGACAGTCGTCTGCTGACTGAGTGGCGTGACGTTATTTTGGGAATGACGTCATAACTTAGAAGGTGATAAAAAATGGCAGACAATTTGGAAACCCAACGCACCTCCTTTTTAGGTATGTATAGAAACATTGGCCCTGGTCGAGGATAACACTCACCAGGAAAAAGTATTTTGGAGAAAATTTTATAGGTATGCCCTAAGGCAGGCAGTGTAATAATATTAAAGTGCTTGAATGAACGTGCTGGTCAAGGACAACACCCACTATGGAGAAAATTATCTAAAACATGTATTTTTGTAAAATATCAGAAATAAGACTTTTTCATCACTAAACTATAGAAATTAAAATATAACTCACCACAAAAAGAGCCTTAGTTTGTCCATCATGTTGTGAGAGATTGCGTATCATCTTCATTAACAAGGGATCTTTAAATTTAAATGCACGTTTCATCAACATCTTCAATCCACTTCCTTCACAGATGATACTAGCTGTACGTTTATTACTCGCTAGATTTATACACAAGGCCAGTAACTCTATCTCTGTACTTTCATTACTCTCAAATAACATCTTCATAACCTGGTAATAATGAAAACATCTTTATAACCTAGTTATAATATAACAACAATTGAAGTGTCTGCGTCAATTGTATTTTTATTTTTAACAAAAATACAAAATTTTCACAGTTGAATCGAGGTTAAAATGTAGTGTATATTTAACAGTTAAATATAAAACAAAACGTCAACGATAGATAATTTCTCAACTTAGATTCAATCGCTATTAAAAGATTTCAGCGAACATTATTGGTGGCGTTGTTTGGTTTTTGACAATATATCGACTATAGTGGATGTCGAAAGTTTACAGATTTTTAATTCATCCTATCTTTACAAATACTGAATGGAATTGAACCATTTTTTGACTGATATTCCAAAAAAGATGTTTCACATATATTTTTTGTTCTGTTCCGTGACTATGTTATGTGTATTCAAGCTGTGTGTGTGTGGTTTAATTTACTGTTTGTTCAATCAATGTTTTAATATGCAGTTCTCCAGCACTATCAATTAGTTCCAAACTACGAAAAACTAATTAAACAGTCTGGGTCCTGATTCTCAAAATCTTAACTAACGATAAAATTCAAATACTTCAATTTTGATTGGCTAAGCACTAAAATCAATCTAATATTGTCCAATCAAATTACTAAAATTTGGATTTTATCTTAGTTAAAATTCTGTGAAACTAGGTCCTGGTTTAAATAACTTGGAGGTCCTGGGTTTGGCGTTGGCTGAGACAGTTATTCAGGATACTCCAGTGAGGTTTCTCATTGTCTAGGTGTAGGATGGAGGGCCTGGCATGAAAAACTGAGGTCCTGTATAGATGTTGGCATGTATGTAAAAGAACCAATGGCAAATGGCAATCAGCCTTACAGCAACCCAAGCTATAGTCCGATCCTAATGATCAGTCAATCTAAAAGGGATATATTTCTAGGAGCAGCCGTATTCATCGATTAAATATCATCGATACTTACAATAGGTATACAGTCGGTATATGTAAACATAGCTTTAGATTTATCGTCCAGACTTATATGATATAGTAATGATAACACTATTAAACGATGATTTTCATTCACTGGAAAAAAAAAAAGAAAAAAATTTTTATAAGCATTCAATAAGCTGGTTTGTATCCTGGACCTGGTCCGAGAACAAACTTTACGATTTTATTAACCCTGTTACCATGGTGATGCCTCGAAGACTGATATAGAAATAGTGTCTAGTCATACGGATGGTATGAAAAGTTTGAGGTCCACCCCCCCCCCCCCCCCTTGTATAAAACACTGTTTCTGAATCACCTGGTTTAAATGAAATTATTGCTCTTTATATACTGGAGCCACAGGGAAGGGAAAGAGAGAAATGGGGTTTAATGTCCACTCGACACATACTAGGTCATTTTGGGACAAAAATATGGTTTAGTTTTATTTCAATAATTCACTTGTACGTAGGGGTCTTTAGCAGTGGGAGGAAACCCACGGAGTTGGACACAGCATATTGTAGTCACATCTTCATTAACGTAGGTGGTGCCGTAGTAGGCCTACATAATACGACTTTATTTCTTTATATCAAACCATTGTTGAACTTACCTAAAAGATTGACTAGTTTTGGTAGGAGACCAAACTTGATCATTTTACTGCGTAACTCGGAATCAAACGATAGATTTAACAATAATCTCAGGGTAATATTCAACAAATCTTCGTGTTCACATGGTATAATCTTCGTTATCTTCTCTATTATATTTAACTCAGCCTGTAATACAACAATAGTAAACTATGTGAATTGTCCGTAAAAAAAGTCAGCTATGTGAATAGTCCGATTAAAAAATTAGCTACATGAATTGTCTGAATAACAAGTGAGCAGTGTGATTTGACTGAATCAAAAGTGAGGTATGTGAATTGACTGAATCAAAAGTGAGGTATGTGAATTGTCCAAATAAAAAATTAGCTACATGTACGTGAAATGTCTGAATCAAAAGTTAGCCATGAGAAAGCAAGTTAGAAGCAAAGTTATTGTGTAAAGTATGAAAAGCGGAGAGACTATCTCATGTCAATAATTCCCTGGTTTTTATCGAAAGTTGAAAAGTGGGGGACAATTTAAAACAGAATGGAGGTAGCATATTTACAAATTATCTTACCATTTCTTTTTTATTTTCTATAAATATGGACATTTTCTTGAGGAAAGACGTCACAAGAATAAGAAGTTCTGAATTATCTCTGTCTAATGTTTTAACGAGAAATTTAACAATTCCTTTATTTCTCATTTTGGTTTCAACTTTTAAATCTTCGGCTAAATTCAACAACAGGTAATATGTCACTGGAAATAAACATAATAATACTAAAAAAACATAATAATAATACAGTGTAACCCAATCTACAAGAATTTAATTTAAAGATCACAGTTTAAAATAACGCCACAATTAATCATTTTACATCAATAATCAATTGGGTTTTTCATTTTTGAACAGTGATTGAGTAATTAAATGCATGTAAATTGGACACTCGTTATCAAAATTGAATGGTCAGCTTTAAACTGGACACAAATTAGATGATTTATTAATGAATGTGTCTTGCCACATGGACACCTGGTCTTGAAACTATCATTTTTCTCCAGGAGAAACTCAAATATTGGAAAAGATCTGATGTCATCTGAAATCAATTTGATTAAACAAATATGACCTTACCTCGTAGAAGCTGTTCTTGTTTTTTGACTAAACTTTGATATTTCTGTAAACTTTTAGCGTAATCATCTCGCGTTTTTCTGTTATTTTTATCAAATTCTGGTGACAAGGTTAAAGATATTTTCTACAAATTAATTTTTTCAACAAAGACATATTCCTTTTTGGACGATTATTTTCAAATTCTGAATTCTTGAATGACATTTAGAAGTAGAGGTATAATATTCATATTAACACATCTGTATAGATTTTACTACTTCTTAGTTTATTACATAAAACAATTCAATACTCTTACAGGTATCTTTATCAAGCAATGATCAATAATTGAAGGCATTTTATTGGAAAATATAAAATTTTTCTACAGCCTCATCCACGCTAAAATCTAAGTGGTCATATCATGTATATATCATCTGTAGTGGATGTCAAATGTTGACAAATTTTTAATTCATCATATCTTTGTAAATACTGAATGGAATTGAACCATTCTTGGACTGATATTCATATTATAGATTTAACTTTGACAATATTGTAGTTTGTCATGGAGTTTTCAATCCCTTAAATCTGAGATGCCCTGATAATATATTGACCGATATTCATTTTTTACAGTATTGTATTTTTATATTTTATTTTGAAAGTTATAACGTTTAATAATAAATCAAGATATTTCTAAAGGATATCAAGTTTTTTCTTTTTCTGTAGCTCCTCTGTCCATAGGTCGTACTTCTTTAATTCATGTTCAATAATTGCCATACATAAAGCCCCCACTTTAAAATGTAGGATAACTCCGTGAAATTGTGTAAAACTGGAGAAACAGAAGAAAATATAAACAATGTTGGTGGCGACCTCTGAACTCTTCTTCCAATCTTCTCGTAAAACTCTAGCTAACGCTCCTATCACAGTTTCTGTAAAATAAATAGAAATGTTTGACGTTAGAGATGGTTGGAGGACAGGAGAAGGAGGAGAGAGAGAAATCGGGTAAAACATCGACTCAACATAAACAAGGTCATTTTGGGACTAATATGGTATAATCTTATTTCAATAATTTGTTTTTATTTCAAGAAATGAAATGGAGTTTAACATCCTACTGTTTTGCTCCGACTGGGCTAATGAAGATGGGCATACACCATACAGTGTGCTATGAGAGAAATTTTGCCCCTACAGCGGTGCTATGGCTTACAGCAGCATTTTTATTTAAAGTTGACCAAAGCTGTCCATTCACTTGGATGCGTTTAATTACATGTACATAATAACAAGAGTCTACATTTAAAAACAAAATATCTATGATTTTCTTTTAGATATATGGGAAAAATCTAAAGATTAAAAGATTTATTCAGTCGACTGTATTTATAAAACTAAGAATTTACCATTTTGGAAAAGTTCTTCCAGATTATCCGGATTTCGTGAGAGTTGTAGAATGAGAGCGGAGCCTCGTACTTTATCAGGAATATCTTCATACAGTAATTCCAGATATTCATCAATATCATTTATAATAGCTGTCTCGTCGACTTCCGTAGCATCGTGTAATCCAGGCTCTTCAGGTTTATCACTTAGTTTAGTTTTACCAGATGCTGAAAGTAAAAATAGTCAATAAATAATGTAAGTTTACATTGTACATAAAATTTTTCTTCTCTTTACGATGCACATTAATTCCAGCTTTCACGTTTAAGGTGCGCTTTCGCTCCTGCTCCTCTTGACGCACCTCGACTTTCCGTCATTAAAGACTCCTGCAAATTAGCTAAATCGCTCTCCCAAATATTGAGATTAATTGACTACTTTTAATTTTTGTTTATTTTCAAACTGCATTCGTTCGAACTATCAGTTTCCATGATGATAATTCTGATGCTACCATATTCACCAAATATTGAACAAGATAAATCATAAATACAATTTGGCTCTCCTTAATTCAAGAAAATGTAGAATTACTCTTGCAATATAATTAAGAAGAGATTTGTACGAGAGTTGTTTTCGCATTTTTGAAATTGGCAGCAGTTTTTTATGGTTCCTGTACAATTTTATAAACGTGAAGAACTGTTAATTCGCCAGGTTAATTTCGAAATTAAATTCTGAAGAATTTGAAATGTTTTGTTTATTATTGATTGTGTTGCATGTCAGGACAGAAACGGAATGTTACCATGACGATGATGTTAGAATACTTCTGATATGACAACAAAAGAATAAAATAATCACACATTCATTCAATCTTTCAGTGGAACTTTAAAGGAGTAAATTATTAAAAAAGAAATTAAAAGATTGCCAACCTTTACTGGGAACACCATTATCTCGTCTATTCTGTAAATAATATAAAAGTTGTTCTACTTCAGGAAATTTACTGGGATGAATTAATTTACATTTATCTATAATTTCCTTGGCTAGAGATGATAAATCACTGTTTTCATTTAATCCTTTCACACGGATGCTGAAAATAAAATAAAAAATTCAATCTTCATTACAAGTTTTATTTATTTGTACAGGTGTGTATGCCATATTTGATTCTACATGTATAACGCTCGGCACAATGTCTTAGAGAGAGAGAGTAATGGGATTTAACGTCCACTCGACACAAACTAGGTCATTTCAGGACTAACATATGGTTTAATTTTATTTCAATAATTCGCTTGCGCGTAGGGGTCTTTAGCAGTGGGAGGAAACCGGAGGCCCCGGAGAAAACCCACGAGGTTGGACAGGCGACCCTACTCCTTGCCACGTACAAGCGGGGATTCGAAACCACGCCAGTCGACTCAATGACAGACTTTATGATACAGCATGCGCACGCTAACCATTCGGCCATTCAACCCCCACAATGTATTAGCAAGCCTACAATAAATGAAATGATGTTTAATGTCCTAATTTTTTACACCTTTCAGTTTAATGAAGACCATCTTCAATAGAAGGCTTGATTTCGCCTTAATTACGTACATCTTATCAAGCCCTTCACGTAATACCCCGCATATTTTAGCACTAATTTCGATTGGGTATAAGCCCAGCTTGTGATCCTATCAGATTCCTTCGTTAAAAATATGGTTACGATTATCAAGTCTCGCGCTTCTAGCTAAAATGTCTACATGTGACAATCGAGTTGCAAAGTTCAAGGTTCGATCAGTGTCAAGGTTGCTGGAAATCATGGTTGATCAACAAAGGCTGTAAACTTGTCTATTTCTTTTTCTATGGAGGCCGCCATATTTGTTTACAGTGTGTTATGTGCCACGACCTCTGATTGGACAATGCTAATTAGTCATGTGTAAACACAACAAGCGCCAAAATTCGGGAATTGTTGAGTATTGAAGCAACGACTAGATGTTGTAAAACTCGTGGTCGTTACTTCAGGAACATGAATGAACACGGACATAAACGTACACCATTCACACGAAAATAGGCTCTAATAGCAATCACTTAGTGAATCTTCCACCTTAATGTCCTCAAATGATGATGACACAGTATTATAATAATAACCAGTGCTGCCACCACACATGGAATTCTCTATACCTGTACATCTATCAATTAATAATACCCTAAAAAAGTCTAAAGTTAAGGAACTGTACAATGGCATTTAGTAATTGGAACTAGATATACACAGGTCATAATACTACGGAATACAATACCTGTTTATTACACAGAGAGAGGGAGAGAGAGAGAGAGGAGTTTAACATTCACTTGACACAAACTGTGTCATTTTGGGACTCACATATGGTTCAACTTTATTTCTATAAATCGCCTGCTTGTAATGTACATGTACTTTAGCAGTGGGAGAAAACCGATTTTGGACCCTACTCCTTGTCATGTACATGTACAAGCAAGGAATCGAAATCATGCCACTTTGACTCAATGACAGACCTTACTGTTCCACGCACACTAGACCCCCAAGTAATAAATATTAATTGCATTCCATAGCATTGTGGGGGATTGGATGGCTGAATGGTTAGCATGTGCGCGTTGTATCATAAAGTCGGTCATTGAGTCAACTGGTGTGGTTTCGATTCCCTGGTTGTACGTGCCTGTCCAACCTCGTGGGTTTTCTCTGGGTCTTCCAGTTTCCTCCCACTGTTAAAAGACCCATATCCACAAGCAAATTATTGAAATAAAATTGAACCATATGTTAGTCCCGAAATGAGTTAGTTTGTGTCGAGTAGACGTTAAACCCCATTTCTCTCTCTCTCTCCATAGCACTGTGACTTGGTCTGCATTAAAGTAATATTTAGCTTGTGTTGTGACTTTAGAAAACTATTTTCCAGTTTGCCATTTCATTTATATCTGTGACACAATTTGGTTCAGTAGAATTTATATCTTAAAAGATTGCGTCAGAGTTATTTATCATGGGGCATCGAAAGACAGGACCATAATTGATTTGAAGCAGGAATTCAGATCGTTTCAACTAAAAAATCCTTGTGAAAATTGATATATTTTTAGTCCAGTCTCTAAAATGAAAACATTTGAATATCTCTTTACATAAGAAAAAGTTTATCAATACGGCCACTAGCTGAGGCATGAAAAAAACATATATTTACATTTTTTGACATTCTTTTCTTTCCCCTAGCATAGGATCTCCCAATTCACCGAGGATTGTGGCCTCAAGTTCATAATTTACTACCAAAGCTTTTTCTGTCGGATGGACATCAATACTTCCGCCTTTTACTTTCCTTTAAATGAAACAATTAAATTATTATAATTAACATGCTATGATGACAATAAAAAAATCAAAGAATTACAATTAAAATTTTATGATAACAATAATCTCCTGTCTGGCATAAACAATTGCCTTATATACACAAATTACAAAGCTAGTCCAGTACCTGTACAGACACTGGGACAGTTCATTTTTTCATTAGTCAACAAGCGGGTGAACAATATGATGTTTGGTTATGGGTCTGTTTCATTAGATAGAACAGTGGTTTCACCCCCCCCCCCCTCACCCCCATCCCCACAGTTCTCTAAAGAAACCTCTTTACATTGAGTCAGACTGTGTAGTCTGCTAGTGCTATAGTCAGCTAGTGCTGATATACATTCACATTACAATCCTAAAATCCCTTCCACAAATTATAAAAGTGTTGCTTTATTAGCTCAGGATTTTTTTTTTTACCTTTTCAAATATCTGGCATCTTCTGGCTGAAGATTCGACATGTTACAGTCCTCAGCGCCGACCGGTTTTACAATAAAAACGATACAATTGCCTAAAGAAAAAAATTATAAACACTTTTGACAGCCATACCAAAATATGTGTAACCTCAAACCCAAATGGTGACACTAAATATTTATGATTCATAAACCTAATAGTGATTAGAATTGAAGTAGATATAATCATATGATTTGGATTGCAAAATCCATTCATTCGTATATTTTGGTTTTAAGGCTTTTATTGGGGATTAAAGTTCACGTATGATATCTCAAAAAACGTTTTTATTTAGAGATTATAATTGTGTTCGGCAACATGGCAGATCAAGCTGAGGAAAATAAACAAAGCGAAGAAGAAGTTCATTATGATTTAAAAGTCATTGATGAGAAGTTTTATGGGGATGCCAAAGTTTACTGGGAGAAAATATCCCCCACTGTCGATGGAATGTTAGGGGGTTTCGCCAAAATATCGCCAACAGATATTAACGGTTCACGCGCTTTTCTAAGGCCGTTCATGAAGGTTTGTTAATTGCAGTTGTCTCCCTTTAACAGATTTTCCCAAAATGAGTTTACAATATTCAAAATCTTCCACATTGAAAACACCAATTATTTGTCAGTTTAAATCAACATTGATGTTGTGATCATACCGGGAAAAGACAGGCTTTTGACATCCAATATTTAAGACAAAATAAACATTTTACCATTGGTACATGAATCGTGTAACATAATCATAATGGGTTTCAGTGTCATTTTTAACAAGGGACAAGAAAGAGCGAGACTAGAGATTCCATAAGTCATGTCAAATGCTGACGCCAAATTCTTATATGGAGAGCATGCGCAATCGACTGGAATAACCAGACGCTAGAGATTGGTATTCGACTGAGATTTCTGACGTATTTCGCCGAACGGAAACAATTGAATGTAAATCAGTTTTATAGTCAATCAGATTACATTATTATATGCGTTGCGACCCATTTGTATCAATTTCTAGGTACCAAATATTAGCGATTTAGCTCCTTTAAAATACATTTTTATGGTTTTTTTTCTTTCTTTATACATGCATATGTATAGATTTATATTCCCTATTCTAAAAGCAAATTTTTCTCAAGTCAAATATTCATTGAGACGTGGTGAAGAAAAATCTTGCGCAAAAGCATGTATAACTATATATAATATAAAAGGTTAACAATATCATATGGAAATATTGAAATAAACAAACTTGGATTAGTATAATTACTAGCATCGTGTACATTCTAACTAATCTCTTAACCCTATTATCTTTCCACCTCTAATTAGCCATCAATATTCAACAGAATCTGACAGAATATGTTATTTCAAACCCCTGGACTATCAAACCTTTTCCTCGATTCTATACAGTCACAAATTTTTAAAACAGGAAAAGTAGGAAAAGACAACACATGACATTTGAATATTGTCATATTCCAATAGAAGAACTACCGTACATTATTTGTGAGGTATTCAAATCTAGATAATTAATGGCGTTTTTTTTTTTACGGAACCCCCTTTTTTTCTTCCCAGTCCAACACACAGACGCTGTTCCTTGCCAAGCTATGAGAACATACATGTAGCTAAAAACATTAAATATACTGATGTGTTGAGAGATGAGGTTTGTTATCTATTCCTTGCCATGCTCTTGGTCATGCTTCACTGACACGGATAAACCATGCTGAAAAATCGTGAATATTATTTAAAGATAAATTATGTAAGATTTGGATAAGAGCTGGCCATTCTTGCTATAATAGTTCAAAATTAGATAATGCAAAATGAATATATTGAAAATTTCATTCAAACAACTTTATTCTGAGCGAAGACATTAGCCTTTGAAGGTTTGACAAGATGTGTGAAATGATTGTAACCACCGTACTGGTTGTTCAAATTTAGCCTCGCTTCACCAATTTTAGATTAAATTATTAAATGGCAGAACCATTCAAATCTACTTAATATTGGAGATATCCGATGGCATTGAGAGTTGATTATGGTCTTGGCATGCTAATAAATGTCTAATTAATAGTTTATATAATATTTCAGGCCTAAAGAAAGATCTGCAATAGGTTGATTTAGCTCTTGCGATTTCCGGGGGGTTAGATGGCCGAATGGTTAGCACGTGTGCGCTGTATCATAAGGTCTGTCATTGAGTCATCTGGCGGGGTTTCGATTCCCTGGTTGTACATGACAAGGAGTAGGGTCGCCTGTTTAACCTCTTGGGTTTTCTCTGGGTCCTCCGGTTTTCTCCCACTGCTAAAGACCCCTGAGTGCAAGTGAGTTATTGAAATAAAATTGAAACATGTGCTAGTCCCAAAATGACCTAGTTTGTGTTGAGTGGATGTTAAACCCCATTTGCAATAGGCAGATTTAGTTCTTGCATTATGTATGTGTAATTGATAAACTGCTCTAGTTTAATCTGTTTTGTTTTTTTTTCATTCAGATTTCCGGAGGAAAAGTGAACAACAAGAAAGCACTGGATTGTGGAGCTGGTATTGGTAGAATAACCAAAAGACTTCTGCTTCCCATGTTCGATTCTGTTGACATGGTGGAACTCAATCAACATTTTCTAAACGAAGCCAGAGCATTTATTGGCAGTGAATCTAAACGCGTCGATAATTTATTCTGCTCTGGATTACAGGAATTCATTCCTGAAATTGGTCGCTATGATGTCATCTGGTGTCAATGGGTTCTCGGTCACTTAAAGGACAAACATTTGATTGACTTTTTCAAGAGATGTAAATCAGCGTTGAGTCCAAATGGAATGATAATCGTAAAAGAAAATACAGCATCGGATACTGAGCGAGATTTTGATTCGTCAGACAGTAGTTTTACGCGTCCACGAAGAGAGTTTGTCGATTTAATAACTCAGTCCGGTCTTACAATTGTTAAAGAAGAAAAACAAAAAGGTTTTCCAAAAGGCGTTTATGATGTTTTTATGTTTGCGTTGAGATGATGAAGGAATAAATGTTAGGAAATCGACAACAAATCTCGCACCAAAGAAACCAATTTGCCTGCTGTTCTGCCGTCTGCTTGATTAGAATGCCAGGATTCTACAGAATTAGAAGATAACAAATGAACAAGGTTCGCCTTGGATAAAAAAAAAAATATGTTAACTTTTTTTTCTTGTATGCATTGAAACTTGAAAAAAAACACCTTCACCAAAGAAAATATTTATTGTTTGAGAAGATTAGTAGCTGTTTTTGACACAAAGATGGCAAATGAACAAGGTTCACATCTACTTCTTTTGTACATGTATTTTCAATAAAATACAAAAAAAAATGTGGTCTTTTTCTGGTACATGTATGTGATAAAACCTTCACCTGTAAATATGTGAAAGTGTTTATTATTCAAGAGCTAAATCTGCCTATTGCAGGTCTTTGGTTGGACTTTAAATGTTATAAATTATTAATTACACATTTGTTAACGTGCCAAGACCATAATCAACTCTCTAGTCTCTAGACCAGGGATGTCAAACTCATTTTGATTCAGAGGTCACATGAACTAGGTTTACATTAAGTGGGTCGAAGATATACAAAAATTCTAAAAACTAGCCAAACGTCCTTAACACAGTTCATTTTTTATACTGGTGTCCAAATTGCCAAGATATAATATTGAACACAACGTTCTCTTGTATGACATACAACTCCGATATCTATGACATACAGAAAACAATAAATGATTTCCACCACTTGTTTCTAAGAATTATCGACAAGTCATCTTAAACCCTTGGCGAGCCACATGTTAGACGCCCCTGCTCTAGAACAACAGATGCTCAGGATTGCCAATACATTTAAAAACGATTGGACTGTTTTTCTGCACGTACTGGGCTGATGTTGGTCTGTGATTGATTGAATCATGTATACTTTATGCATGTTTTTAATATGACTATTTTCTTTTTTGAAATTGTGCTGTGCATATTTTTGAAATGTTGTTTATTTGTCTCAATATTAATGCTTCATAATTTTATAGAATTTATGTATGTATGAAGCTATTTTTTTTTTTTAACTTATTTCTCAACTTGATAAGAATATTTGATCAGGTTTGATGTATAGTTATTTGGTAAATATAAAAATATATGTAAAGTTACTTCCAAAAACATCCTAGTTACATGTAGTGTGGAGTGGATGTGAAGCCGCATTTTTCTTTAGTTTCGATTTCCTTGTTATACATGACAAGGAGTAGGGTTGTCTGTCCAACCTTGTGGGTTTTCTCTGGGTCCTTTGGTTTCTTCCCACTGCTAAAGACCTTTATGCGCAAGCCAATTATTGAAATAAAATTGAGAGAGAGAGGGTGGGGGGTGTAGAGAGAGGGTGGGGGGTGGTGGGTGTAGAGAGAGGGTGGGGGGTGTAGAGAGAGAGAGAGAGGAAGGGTTTAACTTCCCACTCGACACAAAGTAGGTCATTTCGGGACTAACATATGTTTCAATTTTATTTCAATAATTCACGTGCGTATAGGGGTCTTTTAGCAGTGGGAGGAAACTGGAGGACCTGGAGAAAACCCACGAGGTTGGACAGGGGAGGTTTAACCCTATTTCTCTCTCTTTCTCTTGTATTTGATGTTTGATGAGTAGGTAATTGATGATTATACACTAGGTGTATTTGATGTTTGATGAGTAGGTAATTGATGATTATACACTAGGTGTGTTTGATGTTTGATGAGTAGGTAATTGATGATTATACACTAGGTGTATTTGATGTTTGATGAGTAGGTAATTGATGATTATACACTAGGTGTATTTGATGTTTGATGAGTAGGTAATTGATGATTATACACTAGGTGTATTTGATGTTTGATGAGTAGGTAATTGATGATTATACACTAGGTGTATTTGATGTTTGATGAGTAGGTAATTGATGATTATACACTAGGTGTATTTGATGTTTGATAGGTACCAGTAGGTAAATAATGTGTATTTCAGCTGAAACAAAATACCAGTGATATTTAATCTGGTTATTGAAAAGTCAAAATTTTATTTAAAGGCTCAATACCACACTTGTTGTAACTGAATAATATGTCCCAATCTTTATTCTGGTCAACAGATTGTACTATTTTAGAATATTTCAATTAATTGATGATACAAATTTCATCTTAACACACCTTATTTAAAAATTTTGAAAAATTCAACATAATGGTTTGAAACGTCTAACGTAAACCTTTTCAAATGAAACTTCGATTTAAAAATATTTTCGAACCCTCTGGACAAGTAAAATAGGATGTAATGGATAATTTACACAACAGGTAGGACACTTAAACATCTAGTACTTAGATAGAGATATTATTTATTTTCTGGAGCTTTCAAGCCAGCAAGAGTGTTATTGTCACTTTAAGGTCATACAAAAAAATTATTCTGGTTTTTAATCCTTCCCAAAAATCTGATGGGAGAGGGAGGTTTTATTTTTTATATTTTTCTGGGGAAAGGATCATTTCTTGGTGAAATGACTTTTCATCAACATCACATTTCAAGGTACTACATTAATCTCATGTTGTGATTATCCAGTATTTGTTATGATAGTGAAGAACATACATCATGGTAAGGTACTTGATAACTGAGCCTACATTATCAGTGTACAGTAATTAATAAGACAGTAATAAAAGGAGTCATCTTTTCAGTGATGAGAATCAGGATTGTTTTTTAGGCCTAATATAAATTATATATGTTTATAGCTCAACTCATGAGATATATTTGTGTAACTTGTGATAAGAATCTTTGTGTTTTTAAAGCTTTTAGATTGTGTTTATTATTTGTGGAAAACTGTTGTAAATGGTTTATAAAATAATGTTGTGGGAATTAAACAATGTTACTTTTAATCGTTATATTTCATTTTGTTGTGTGAAGGGGTGGGGGCTTATGTCACCCTTGTGTTCCAATATGACTGTTTACGAATTGGGGAGATGCGGTGGCTCAGTGAGTAAGACATTGGGTTGCTAACCTGGAGCTTACGTGTTGGCAGAGAAAATCAATCAGAATTTTCCAGTGTGGTTTTCCCTTCTCAATAGTGCAGGACAGAGGGTCTGGCAAAGGATAACGGTATAGTCGTTAGGATGGGATGAAAACTGAGGTCCTGAGTACACATTGATATGCACGTAAACACTCGTTTTGGCAGTTGAAATTGGAGATATGAGTTAGTGCCAATGTCATTGCAAAATATTGTTCGTGGCACACTGTATAGCCCAGTCAAAGCAGAACAGTAGGATTTTGACCCCATTTCATTTGTGTGCGATTGTGTTTGATCAGGGTTCCCGCGGCTTCGTCAAACATTTTTTCAAGGATAAATATATGTCAAATTCAAGGATTTTCAAGGACATTTTTTAGCCTAAAGTTACAATAACCAAAACATTACCAACTATCGTTATAATCTCATATTTAAAAGGAATTGAAGACATTTGAAACAAAATTAAGGATCTCAACTGAAATTCAAGGATATTTTCTATTTCCGCGAAATTAAAGGATATTCAAGACCTTGAAAATGAAATTTTAAATTTAAGGATATTCAAGGATTTTCAAGGACCGCGGGAACCCTGTTGAAGCAATATGAAAAAGGCAATATAAGCCGTCTTGCAATCTAATGCAACTGTTGAAGCAAGCTGTACATTTTCTATGTTGCTGGGATCTGTAGCAACTGTATATAACTAAGTTCAAGGGAATGTTTAGGCATTCGGTGTACTCGGGTTTTCTATTACATCATTTGTGTACATAAAACTGTCTGTCAACATTATCGAAGGATGTTGTGACAACAAAATTGTATTTAAAGAAAGGATAAATACCATGCAATACCAGAACCAGCTATTACGAAATTTATTGTTAACCTTAAGATGACAGCATCGCGATTTTGTACTGGTCACATGACCGTCTCGTGGCTCCTTTGACCTTATTTGGTTTTGGTTGCATACAATCCTGCGTAACTTAACCTCTCTGTGATTCCAGTTGCATGTAGGGCAGGGCTTCCGGGTTGTAAATCGAAACAACTTGACCCCTCAACCCTGGACATTCTGGTTGTAAATCTAGACAACTTGACTACTCACCCCTCCCCCTCCACCCTAGACATTCTGGTTATAAATCTAGACAACTTGACCACTCAACCCCAGTCCACCGTCTGGTTATAAATCTAGTTTACAGAAATGAAATAGGGTTTAACGTCCTACTGTTCTGCTCCTATACTGGGCTAATGAAGATGGGCATACGCCATACATTGTGCTATGACGGAAATTTTGCCCGGGCAGCGGCACTATCGCCTACTCTTATATCGAATTCCAACTGCCAGGGGATCTTTTACGTGCATTCCAATATATATAACGGGACCTCGGTTTTTCGTATCAACCGAAGGACTAGACAGCTGTCCTTGTCAGGCCCTCTGTTCTGCACCACTGACAAGGGGAAACCACGTCAGAAAATCCTGATGAACTTTCTCGGCCAATGCAGGGATCGAACCCACGACCCCAGGCTAGCGAGCTAGTGTCTTAACCAACTAGCCACCGTGGCTCCCGTTTGCTTACAGCATGACACCCAACAGACAATTCAGCCCCCGTTTTATCAACAGTACGACACCCAACAAACATTTCATCCCCTATTTTATCAACAACAAAAACAATTTTTCATTCATTTCCGTACTTTAATTTAACTTTTTACAGCATACTTTCTGACGGGGAAATTTTGTGCTTTTCGGATCTGTTTTTTACTTTTAATATTTTTTTCGTTTTTACTAAGAGCCCGTCGAATAGCTCTGGTCTTTCGTACACGGATCTGTTTTGGTACCCACTTCTTTTTCTTGTAAAATTTACGTAAATTTTCTTTACGGGTCTGGTTCATAACAGTCAAAATTCGACCAACTGATTTTCGTACAGTTCGACTGAAAATAGAAAATCAAACAAAAGATTGAATACACAGAAAATATATAAAAATATAGGTTGCCAGGCAGGGGCAATGACAATATACGACCATATATCAATGCGAACTTGCTATAAATAGTTACGGCAAACCTATTGAAATTTTGGGTCAATGTTGTTTTTGATTAATTCATAACCTTGTATGCAATGTTTTGTTATAATTTCAAAACTTTATTATTTGAAACTAAATTTTTTAAAGAGCAAGTACTTTTTGAAATTAGTCTTTTTTCAGAAGAAATCAGAGGCCGAATTTATAAAAGGCATTCCTGAAGAACAGAAATTCAAATTGGTGTGTCCTTGTCATTAATGAAATAAAAAAAAACAACAGTAAATAATCTCTGGGCTCGAATTCTATCAGATTAAAAATAGAACCATTAAAATATTTCAGCGAAGATTATACGTGGCAATTTTTTGATTCATCAAAATTATCCAATTTGTTTATTTCTTTCTCATTAATTTGATTATGGAAAAATTCCTACAAATTATCTCCCAAGGTAATGTTAACCCACAAACCTTGACTGAATTATCAATTAATCAACATTAAAAAAAAGGTACCATATTTTATTTTTATTGATTTTAATTCACTGGTTATTGGGATTGGGTTTAATATCTTCTTCTGCACCGACTGGGATACTGAACACGGGCATATTTCATACAGTGTGCCCGGACAGTGGCCTACTTTATTCCCTGCATACCCATGTGGAGACAGGATATCGGATTTTTGTCCCATCCAAACGACTAGACACTATTCCTGATCAGACCTTCCCTGTCCTTTCCCACTGACAAATAGAAACCATGCTGAACAATCCCAAGGTGCCAACACTGGGAGCGAAATCCAATATCTTACTAAGCCACTGCTACTCATCATCGTTGCAAGGGAGAGAACTATGCCTGGATATCAGTTTTAAGTTCACGACCATGTATATATACAGGTGGACTTCAGTTTGTCATCCCATTCACAAGAATAGAAACATTTTCTTGTTGGCCCCGCAAGTCATCCCATTTGTAAGAACAGAAAATGAAATGAAATGGGGTTTAACGTCCTACTGTTTTGCTCCGAACTGGGCTAATGAAGACGGGCATACTCCATACAGTGTGCTATGAGGGAAATTTTGCCCGAACAGCGGCACTACGGCCTACTCTTATATCGAATTCCAACTGTCAAGGGATCTTTTACGTGCACGCCAATGTGTACACGGGACCTCGGTTTTTCGTCTCATCCGAATTGACTAGACAGCTGTCCTTGTCAGGCCCTCCACATTGTCTTGATAGCCCCGCAATTTCGGCTATATATTGGATATTAGCTCCAGCCCCCCCCCCCCAAACCAAGCCACCTGTAAGTCTCACCATGTCCCGTATTGTATTGATGAGACTTTCAACTCCTACCCTATTATGTATGCAACAAGCCTTGATCATCCACTTATACCA